ATCATTTGTGCAGAATAAAGAAATTCCTCTGGCAAAAAGTTATAATGCTTAAATATTGATGATAAAATCTATTAATATCTATTTAATTAATTTATAGATATTTACGCACTGAACATTATCCCAGATAGCAAAGCGTGTCTCAGCAAAATCTCGCAAATCTGTGATTGCTTATCATGCTTACAACTTGCCGTAGATTTGTCTTCAACGATTTCGAATATACCGACATTGTAGCAACATGCAGATAACAATGTGTATGCGTATTGCCAGCAGTTTAATAGCAAGATAGCTACATCAATGTTATCTTGCGTTGTCGGCAATATGACAGCATTGTATAATGCTGCATATTATTATGGCAACATGATGGCAATAGTACGAATTTTGATGACGACGATTTTAAAATTGTCGGCAAATTGCTGGCAAGTTGCTACTCAATGTTATCATATCGTGAAGGCATCAAGTTGCTAACAAATGAGGACTCAGTTGCTGCAATTCTGGTAGCAACACATACTTAGCAATGCATACATAGCAAGCAATATGCCAGCAACAAGACAAACACGCTATCTGGGATGTTGATGAAAATTAATGTAAAAGAAATTGATTGATTAAACGTATTTACTACATATAGATTATATTACTAAAATAAAAGATAAATTATTCTTTCCCCATTTCTATATTAACAGAAAGAAAAAAAATTTTTTAATGTATATCCATTTACACATTTTCCTTTACAATATATTACCTTTGGTAACTTCTTGGTATCTGTGACCGTTGGTTGCATTTAAATAGATACGTTTAATAAGTTCCATATTATTTAACAGAGAATTGAATGCCATAAAGTATGGAAAACTGACTTTTCTTCCGCTTTGACCGGCACCAACTGCCTGCGATGTATGAAAATACAGTTTATTATGTAGTACCATACGTTCAAATAAATTTCAATACTACTTTACATTAAAATGACACAAAATTGAAGATTAATAAACATTAATTCGTAATTAACGAACGTTCCATACATGTATTAAGCACATGTAGTTTAAATAATTTGTTCCTGTCCTTATTTTCACACAAATTGTGGTTAAAATGTATAGTATAAAAATCGATTTACTAGAAGCCTATACCGGTCGGAGCTGGATCTTTAATGCTTAAATAATTCAAAGTGAATTTTATATATATATATATACATATATATTAGGGTGGTCCATCTATTTCGACTTTCAAATTTTTTCCGCTGCACTCCTTAGAATGGTTCCAATCCATAAAAAAGTAATTCCTGTCAAATTTCAGTTTAATCGGACAACGGGAACCCGTGCCGACAGCTCGTTGAATATTTGAGTTCCCTTATATTACCTTATTAGTTCTTCTAGCACCGAGTTTCCTTATTAGTTTTTCAGCACATAAACATCTTTCTAATATGATGCCTGATTGACCATCGAATTATTAAAAATTGCTCATCAATTTAATTTAATTTATGATGTTATTACAGTTTAATTGCGTTTATAAACCATTTTTTTTGTAGATACCGTAATTTGGAAGATATTCGGGTCCATAGATTAAAATGACTCACCCTGTATGTACATGCATGTAGTACATATATATATGTATAATATATATGTATATATATATAATTCACTTTGAATTATATATGTATATATATATATATAATTCACTTTGAATTATATATGTATATATATATATAATTCACTTTGAATTATTTAAGCATTAAAGATCCATAAAGTATTCGACCGGTATAGGTTTTTTCTAGTTTATTGATTGTGTTCTCACATGTACGGTCTAAATTATGATTCTTATTGTTTATAATATAAAACATTTAGTTGTCAGTTACGAAGTTTTCTCTATCTTCTCTGTAGAAATAATACTACTTACAGCAACTAGATTATCCCTCACATCTTTTGTGAGTAAATGACTCTTAATACTGAGCATGATGTCTTGGAAGTCTAATGCGGAAATGAAACCTGCACCATCTTTATCAAATTTCTTAAAGGCTTCTGTTGCATATTCTTCATGAAAATCCTAAAAACAAGCATTTTTAGCACAAAATGATATCACTAACCTGTTTTAATTTATATCATATTTTGGAATCGCTTTTGTAAAACTATAACTATTGTCTGTATGTATAAGGAATCAATTTTTTTTAATATATGGAAAATATTCTGAAATAAGAAATGTTACTTTACGACTTTTCAAGGTACTTCAGTCAAATTGTGTACATACATATATTATTATAAATATATGTGAAAAACAAAATAAATATACGGCGCTGTATATGTAATTCATAATCATTGTCACTCGTTACGTCATACTTGGCTTATTTCCTGAGCAAGAATAACAAGCGAATCAGCAATTAAGCGTGCAATAAAATATGGTACTCACATGCAAAAACTGACTAAACTCTGCATAGCTGATTAGTCTACTTTTATCCTTTCCAAAATAGAGTTTGATAAAACTACTGTCCATATTAAAGGGCATTTTTTGATGCAGTACAGTTTTCCGCATCACCTCAGCGAACTCATCTGTAAATTGGTGATAATATGTCCATATGAAAAATAATATAAATTATTTCGAAAAGAGAAATGACAATTTCTTTGTGATAGCCCTTACCAAATGCAACCATTCCATTTCCATTAGTATCAAAGAGTTGAAAAGCTGTTTTATATAGAGCATCAGGTACACAGAGAAGACCTTCAAATGCTTGAAATTCGGCAAATGATATAAGTCTGAAAAAAAAAAAAAAGATATGTTAACTATAAAATACATTTGTTCGTTGTGTGTGTGTGTGTGTGTGTAAAATATTTGCTTCTTAACATATATATTATCATATTTATTATAATTATATTTGTACAAATATGCACACGCATGTGCATGCACGCACACACATTCGTTAATATAAATAAAAAAAATATCTTCGCAGATGTGTGTATTTCTTCGTTATTAAGTATCTACAACAATTTGTAGAGATATATCCTATTATTTACCTTATATAATTTATATTAATTTACATATACAAAAATATTTTAAATAATTTACGATATTTTAAAGAAAAAACTAAACATTAAAAATGTAAAAAAAGGCGTCAAGTATATTTTGCAGAAAAAACCAAAGATAATGCCGCAAAAAAAGAAGTGAAATCAAAATAATATTTCAAGTATCTTTATTTAAAATGTCCCATAAAACACAGTTCTCCAAGCGGTATCTTGAAGACATCCTTATAATATAGACGTCCTTTGGACATCCTTTAAGACAGTATTGTATGGGATAATTTCTCACAATTATAATATACGAAGTACGTATGACATTTGAAGTGTATTAAGTATAACAACACATTAAAATGAGAGAATGAAACGCAATAGGTGTAATGACAGGCGCAGAAATTGGAAAGGGATTTTTACATCGATAACAAGTAGAAAATTGTAGAGATAAAAAATCGAAAATGAGCAAGATCTCCAGCAGCAGCTCATACTTGACATGCTTGTCTTGTTCATAATTCGATTAACGCAAATAATTCAATAAATATTTTATTATAATTATAAACTATTTTTCGCAAATTAAAGAAATTTTGTATAATATAATCAAGTTATTATTTTAGTATTGATATACTACCTTGATCAAAAAGTTTCTGGAATTACCACCAGGTGATGCTCTGAGTCAGCTGATTTGAGTTCTGTTTTTTTGGTTAGGTTGCCACATCTATCATTGACATTTCCATCAAATTTTATCGCCATAGCTGACATTTGTAAAAGTTACGCCGTCTTGAGTACATCTACCTCGCACGTGTTTTCGATTTTTTACAGTTTTAAAAATGTTGAATTTGCACCATGATAACGCATCGTCGCACAGTGCCATCATTATCCGCGAATTTTTGACCAAGAACGAGTACCATCCAACAGCCATCGAATTCACCCGATATGGTTCCCTGCGATTTTTTTCTGTTCGATCGAGTCAAAAAACCACTACGGGGGGAATGCGTTTTAACAGCCGAAAGGAGATAAATCGAAGACGGCTCTGATGGCTATACCGACAATAGAGTTCTAGAAATGTTTCGAGAGCTGGATCAAGCGCTGACATAAGTGCGTTGCAGTCGATGGGGAGTACTTTGAAAGGGACAATATCACTTTTGATGAATAAACTTGTATTTTGAATTTTCTGAATGAATTCCGGGAACTTTTTGATCAAGGTGGTATTTCATATTCAACAGATACATATACAAATAGTTTTCTATGAGATAAAAAAAATTTTTAATACTTATTAATACTAAATTTTTAACTCTTAAATTTTTTTTACTATGGTAATAGAATCTGAAGTTTATTACAGTAGTATTAGCAGTTATTATTCGACATAATATAATATTATTGTCTTTGATTAGATTATATACTTGATTTTCATGTAAGTAGAAATCTGAATATTATATTTTTTACTTAATAAAAATTTTTAGAAACAATATGCACGACTCATTTGCGGATTAGGGACTTTATTACTAAATAGATTTAAAGCGAGTTATACATGTGTGGCGACTCGGCACCAGAGGTCTCACGGGTCTCGCGCGGATTCTCGTAAGCACCCCAGTTACACGAATTTCATTTAAATAAGATCCCGATCTAATACTTTCTCGGGCGTCTAAGGCAGATCCCACTACATTGCCTTACTGATGAGTCCAGTAGTGGGGACCAGGACGAAACCCCGCGGTCGATCATACTTCGAATCGAACACGATTCGTCATTCATTTTTCCGGCCTAACCAACTCAATAATACCTCCGCCAAATATGTATGTGAAATTGAGACTTATATGTATTTCTTGTAACATGTTTCGAAATTACATTGTCTGTGTGCTAATATCCTTTCACAGATACATCGAATTAGAATGAAAATTACTACAACATTAATCTCATTAAAATATTTAAAATTTTAATAAATCGTAATTAATTTTAATTGTCATTGATATTTACGTATTATTGACAAGTAAGGGTCTTAACAATTCTTATTTTAAATTACGATTATAAACAATATGGGCGCGTCAAGTATACTGCTGCTGGAGATCTTTTCGATTTTTTATCTCTACAATTTTCTACTTGTTATCGATTTAAAAATCGCTTTTCAATTTCTGTGCCTTTCATTACGCCTATTGCGTTTCGTTCTCTCATTTTAATGTGTTATTATACTTCAAATGTCCGTACTTTGTATAGTATATTATAATTGTGAGAAATTATCCCATACAACATTGTCTTAAAGGATATCCAAAGAACGTCTATATCATAAAAATGTTTTCAAGATGCTGCTTGGAGAACTGTGTTCGATAGGACATTTTAAATAAAGATACTTGAAATATTATTTTAATTTCACTTCTTTTTTTGTGGCATTATCTTTGGTTTCTTCTGCAAAATGCACTTGACGCCTTTTTAAATACATTTTTTCTGGTAGATTTCACGAATTTTTGCTAAGTTCTTGTTATTAATAATAATACATTTTATATTCATATTTAAAAGATAATATTATAATAACCATTAAGGTAATAATAAAAATAACGATGTTTGAAAATAATTAAAGGAGTTATGATGTCTTTTTAGTAAGTAAGTACAATATCTGTCTCACTGTGGCACTCGCTCTTTAGTGATAACTTGGGTGGTAATTAACGCAAAGTGCTACCGCACGTTTTGAACATGACAACATTTGTGTTGTTTGTTTAATGCTTTTCTGTATTTGTTGTGCACATATAGAAGAAATGTGAAAAAGTGTGGAAAGATGCGAAAAAAGTGCCAAAAGTGTGGGAAAGTGAATAGATAACATGAACGAGTAGATAGATGACATAGGTAGATAATAAACATAATTATCATAAATAAATAACGTAGATATGTAAATATATAACATCGGATGGTGGATAGATAATATCGACTAGAGTCCCTAGAAGAGAGTCTGATCAATGATATATATCCCAGTTTTTAAAGAATATGGCGCGATCAATCATTGCAGTCGAAATCTCATCCAAGAGAGGCATAACTTAAATATAACAAAACGGAAAATAAAGAATTACTTGACTTCTCATAAAAAGTCAAGTAATGAAAATTGTCTTACCTTTTTATAGAATTAACAATATGAAAAAACTTCACAACATTAATTAAAAATATTCCGTGCTTATATATCATGGACGCCATTTTATTTCCAACTAGATCATTGACTAGACTCTCTTCTAAAGATTCTGAACATCGACAGGTCGATAGATAACGTAGATAAGTAGATAATGTAGATAAGTAGATATGTAGATAAATAGTATACGCAGATGAGATGCGAAAAAGATGCGGAAGAGATGCGGAAGACGTGCCGAAACGCTGCGAAAAAGTACGGAAGAAATGCGGAAGAAGTACGGAAGTGGTGCGGAAATAGAACAGAAAGGTGCAAAAGAGGTGCAGAAGAATTACGGAAGACGTGCGGAAATGATGCGAAGAGGTGTAGAACAAAAACATAAGAGATACGAAAGAGGTGTAGAAGTGATGCGGAAGAAATGAGGAGAGTTGAGAAAACGGTAAGAAGAAATGCGGAGAGGTGCGGAAGAAATGCGAGATTGTTGCGGGAAAGATGCGAGAGAGGTGCGAAAATAGTGCAGAAAACGTATAGAAAAAGTGTAGAAAATAAGTATAAAAAAGAAGAGATGCTGAAAAAGAGATACAGAAAGTGCAGAAGAGGTGCAGCAAAGGGGGACAAGATTTTGCGAAGATGTCGACGACGACGACGATGTATCTGAATGACATAAATCGGGCAGAAAAAAACATGTACATATTCATATCTACACATTAAGTGCACTTACGAACATGGTGTTGTAGTCTTATTTTAATTGTAAAAATCTATATTTTTCCCCAATATATGTATTTTTTAATATATAATAAATTTATTTAAACAAAACAATCATTTTTTATTACATAAGTGTTCTTCTTTCTGTAAAAGATACGCTGTAGCGTTTCTTTCATAACATATGGTATAATGCCCCTTTTATAATAATATAAAAAGGATGTTTTTAATTAACTTCTAAATATACTTGACAGGCTTTATTGCACTCACTATTGCACACTTTTCCGTTTAAATATTTGAACTAAATAATCATTACGAACTAAACGCATTTAATTAAGTTAACAAATTCTTTTGTCTCAGTGTAGCTTTTAAATCTATTTAATAATAAAGAATCTATTTCATAATAAAGAAATTTCTAATCCGTTATGCATTGTTTTCAAAAGTTTTTACAAAAAAAATAATGTTCAGTTTTCTATCTTCATAAATCAAGTGTAATCAGATAAAAAAACGATAATGTTATGTTGAATAATAACTCTGCTATTATTACTGTAATAAACTTCAAATTCTGTTACTACAGTAATAAAGTTAAAGATTATCTCATAGAAAAATATTTGCATATGTATATTTGTTGAATACGAAATATATTAATACTAAAATAATAACTCAAATATATAAAAAAAAATTTTTAATTTGCGCAAAATAGTTCATAATTAATAAAATATTGAATTATTTGCATAAATCAAATTATGAACAAAACGGGCGCGTCAAGTATGCTGCTGCTGGAGATTTGTCCATCTTCAATTTTTTGTTTCTCATACAATTTATTGCTTGTTATTGATGTAAAAATTTCTTTTCAATATTTGCGTCTCTCATTAGACGCTCGTTCGTGGCTCGAACAAATCTGATGTAATCGCGCGGCGCGCCGGTCGACTCGCCGTCTCAAGTCTGTTCGACAACGGGGAACGATTACTCGCAAGACGCCGTCTTAGAACAATCGCTCGATTAAAAGGCGCCTCTTACACTATTAATAATATTTTTAATACTTAAAATAAGTTATTAATTGGCCAGTACTAGTATTAAATTTTTATAATCATCATAATTAAAATAATAACTACTCTCTAACGGTTTAGTGAATCTACTTGAAATTTTTTTTAATATATTACAGATAACAAAGGAAGAGTTCCCCGAAGTTTCATCAATTTGGTACTATTTTAGTTAATAGCTCAGATACATCCTTAAGGACAGAGATGTCGGAGACTTTTAGCCTGAAATTGAAATGTGTCGATATTCGCGCTTAGTACCGTTCCTACTCCTTACTTCATTGCTGTTTTGTCGTAGCGCGCGGTGCTTGGTCTCAGGGACGACACTAGTCCGAAATCGTTAAAAGTATTTGACCTGTATCTTTCATTATGTTTAAAAATATTCTGTTACTAATATTATAGGATACTATTATTCATAATATATTTAACTATAAAAATATGAATAATAGTATCTTACAATATTAGTAACAGAATACTTTTAAGCATGGTGAAAGACACAGGTCAAAAACTTTTAACGATTTTAGACTAGTGTCATCTCTGAGACCGAGCGTCGCACGCACAAAACAGCAATAAAGTGAGGAGTAGGAACGATAATAGGAGTAAATACCGACACATTTCAATTTCAAGCCAAAAGACTCCGACCTTGAACAGCTCTGATTAAGGATAATCGTTAGAACTCTTTGAGATGCTATCATAACTCATAACAGAATGCCGGAAATCTAAAACAAAATTTTTTTTAATTTCTTCGGAAATCCGGTATTTTCTTGAGAGTTCTGATAGTCCTTCCTCTAGCATGGTGAAAGACACAGGTCAAAAACTTTTAACGATTT